TGTAGTGAATATTTAGTGCGAACATTTTAATGCCCTTACGTTTTGCTGTTGAATTTTTGTGCGTTTACTATGTCCGTAATCGGTAGTGACGATGACGAGTTCTACGATCGAACAAAGAAGTCCTCAAAGCACAAGCCTGGTGAAAACCAATCAGTTGAAACAGCTGATTCTCTTCTTGATAAGAAGGATGCCCTTACGAAGCAAATACAAGATAAGGAAAAGTTGCTTCTCGAGGACGGTGAAGCAGCAGAGCAAAATGAGGTGGCTGAAGCTGGCGATGCACTTGATGCGTATATGTCGGCTGTGTCGTCTGAGCTAGGTAAAGCTAATCCCACCTATTATCTGTTATTGCGCTGAGTGAAAAAGGGTAAAATCTGTATCTGAGTAATACACAGTCGTATCTATCTTTTGGTTAAATTTTATTAGTAATTTCTCTTTAATTCACCACTTGTGCATTGCAGCATGCTGTTTTCCTCAAAAGTGTTCTGTTTTCATTCAAATTTTTTATGTGGAGCTTAATTGCACCCTTCCCTTGAAATAAAAGAAATAGAAATTAATTAATTGAGAAGAAAAAACTGCTCTGCCTCTGTCCCATAATATTGTTTGTTAATATGCCACATAATTTATTGGACTTTTTTGCTGATTCTCTTTGTTGGTCGACAGTTTTGGATCGTAAGGAGAAGCTCCAGAAAGAGATGTCCACCCTTCAGTCTGAGCTTGATAGGATTCTCTATTTGCTGAGAATAGCCGACCCAACCGGAGAAGCAGCTAAGAAAAGAGAATCCAAAGTACAAAATCCTAAAACGATAGTGAGCAAAAAACCCTCTTTAGACACGAGCAATCGACCCGTGCCCCAAAAGAATCTGGAAATCGTCCCCTCATCAAGCAAAAATAAGCAATTAGCCCCAGTATCCTCGCCGGTCAAATCCAGTCAAGAGAAGACCAATGCCAACTCAATATCAGAACCTGACGAGAAGAATGAAGATCCGGAGTCGAAAAATGAAGAGAGTGGTACTCCTACTGTATTTACTGTTGCTAAGCCTCAGTGGCTTGGTGCTGTTGAGGACAGGCAAAAGCAAGAAACTGCACGAGAGGACCCTGTAGATACACAGGACACAGCCAATCAGTTTGTAGACTACAAAGATAGGGAAAAAATTCTGAACAAAACAGAATCTTTGTCAGGGGACCAGGGAATAGAAGATGCTGCACCTGGACTAATAATTCGAAAACGTAAGCAAGTCGAGAAGTCAAAAGATAGTGAGGCCAAAGATCCTGAAGTGACTAATAACAATAATGGTGCGGGGTTTAAGGCAGAAGATGCTGTGGCATTGTTATTGAGGCATTCAAGAGGATACCATGCTTCAGAGGAAGAAGATGGGTCGATTAGTGGAGATGTTTTGGTCGAGAAAGAAGGAAAGAAAGAGGGGAAAAAGGCCAAACGGGTGTTGGGCCCTGATAAACCCGCGTTTGTTGATGAGCCAGATTATACTACTTGGGTGCCTCCTGAAGGTAAACTGATTTGAGTTTTTTATTGAGAATTTGTTTATATTGTAATGGGAGATTCTTTCTTTCCATTTACATTCATTTATGCGCTTACTTTTGTATGATGGTCTTTTCCACAGGTCAATCGGGTGATGGGCGCACGTCGCTGAATGATCGTTTCGGTTATTGAAAAGTTACATGTCTGGAAGTCGTCTTAAGTGATGATGCTGGCTGAGGTTTTATCGGAGTACACGTTTTACCAAACACTTGTAACTGTATGAACAGAGTTGGTGCAAGAGATTTTGGTAGGGCTACTTGGTGCATGTGCCTGTTTCCTTTAATACTGATCTCTGAACTCTGATATGACTTGTAGGGCTATTTGGTGCTTTACTGTTGTACAATTGGTGAGTGACTGTTGAAATGTATGCTAGTTGGGAATCAGCATTCCATGCCTAACATGTAATTTTATGAAGAGCAGTCATAATTTTGTATATCTTTTCATTTTAATTCCTACTCTGTTCTTTATGTCCCCTCCTTTGTCAAGGTTGTGAAAAAATTATAAATACAATAATTACACAAAAATTCCACCAATGCCTGACATTTGAGTTAATTAATCCACAGCACTCAAGCAATTATCCTGTTTATATGCTTAATTTTTTCACTTCAAAGTTTGTTGATTGGCTGAATGTCAAACAAAATAAAGAGCTATAACAGCACACTTAAGAATAAATGGTACCATCGAGTATTATTTTTGAAAATTTTTCACTACTGTAATGTTTCACTATTCTAATTATGGTAATACATACACAAAAAATGGAGAACTTTCTTCACTCGTTTGTCCACGTTAAAAGTTGATGATTTGCCATCAACTATTTTTTTTACTATTGATCTAAAAATTTCCCTTTGCTTTGCTGTGAGTTTAAGTATAAAGCAGGCCTTTAATCAATTGTCAACCTGTCCCTCATCAATCCAGTTCATGACCACCAAATTGAGGCAAAAAGTATGCGAATGCTGAGTTTTCTTTCTAAAATCATCATTATCATACATTTGTCATCTCACAAATGTTGTCAGGCTGCCTAACTTTAGGCGTGTCAATCTGTCATATTTTTTTCAAGCAAAAGCGTATGAAACATGCTTTGAAATGAGGCTATCACGATTATTACCGAAATATCCTAAATTAGCTTATGATCATCATCACATTTTGGACCGAATAAGGAATTACTAAATTTGCCCCTTCCTCACTGAACAATATCCGGAAAAGGCTCGGTTAACTTTATTAACTCCACAATTTCGGTACAAAGCCAATTGACATCAATGGCACAAAGTCACAGCACGCCCTCACATTTAGAGTTGATAGATGGAGGTGCCAAAGCATGGAAACATGGTGTAATATGAACTATAGTATTTTATTGACACCCTCGAGTGCTAATTAGCATATGCCAAAAATAAAAAACTATCACAAAATCCGCACTTGTTTCATGACAATCAGCTTCAATGTAACATGGGAAAACATTTTAATAATGCAACAAGCTCATGAGGAACATAGATCGTATATTGAGTAGGTTCGAAGGAATTAAAATGAGTTATAACAACTTCTGTGGAAACCCCCAAACACGGATCCAAAACACAAATGATGAAAACATTATTAATTACCAGCCGCCCAGCCAAGCTAAAATGCTATATCTAAAACGAGATAAACAGCAGAAAATATCTAAAAGCTATTTGCACTGACCTCCCCTCCATCCTCAGACCTTAGTTCCCACAGGTTTGAAACAGTCAATATTGCACAAAACAGCAGATCTCATCATATCTCCGAAGCTGCCAGAATTCAATTCACAAAGAGTCAAGTAAACATTTTTCAACTCTTACAAAATAAGTCATACTATTAGAATAACAACAAAACAAATTATCTATAGACATACTTATATCTTTGTATTTATGTATATACGCCTGGAAAAAATAGAAAAAAAGAAGCTATATTAGACATCAAGTTGAGGCCAACCGGTCTATGCTGTTCCTAGCTCTCTCTGGCTGTTCTGAAATATTATTTGCCTTGTCAGCATAATCCACACTCTTTCGTGATCTCTCTCTCTTGTCAGTGCTTGCTCTTGATTTTTCCCTCCGGTCTATGCTACCTCTAGGATTCTCTCTGTAATCTGTGCTCGATCTGGACTTTTCTCTCTGGTCTGTGCTTTCTCTCGGTCGGCCATCCATGATGTTTTGAGCATTGTACATGTCATCTGTTGACGTTGCAGATCCAGTTCTCACATGGCCTGATTTCTCGATAGCTAATACAAACTTCTTAAGATGCTTAATATATTCTGGATAGAGCTCGAGGTCACAGTGATTGCCACCTTTGACCCACAACGGCTCGTATTTTTCTTTACAGAGCTCCCAGAGCTGCTTACCATGCGAACAATCTACCACATCGTCATCAGTACCCTTTTAAATCATCAAATTAGAAAGTGCATGTCAGAAGATGCTTGCTCAACATATAAACACAGATCTATCTATAGAAGCACAAAAACGATAAATGATGTACACATTCTAGGCTGTATGAGTAGCTCAATTCAAAATGTGATACATTGAAATTTAATGTAATCAAAACGCACAATGTGCAAAAAGATCATAGCCAAGAAAATATATGTGCCACCACCATATACTACAGAATGGATGAGATAATCACTTACATGAATAACCAATACAGGGCACTGAACCAAAGGAATTTTGTCAATATTCTGCATCATACAAAATCCAGCTACACATTAATTGGATGAACATTTTGATTATACAACAAACATGTAGGGCCAAAACAACAGAAGAGAGATGTGTATACATGTAGGTTATTGAATTACCTTATAAATATCGAACCAATATGTTCGCTTAACAGGATACATTACTCTAAGTCCAGACAGGATTGGGCTGTGCAGAACCACAGCCCTTAATCTTGGCAAACGGGATGCCAGGTCCAAAGTAGGCCCACTCCCAACAGACTGTCCATACAATATTACATCTTCTTCTTTCACTCCGTAATTCTCTTGAAGGCACTCATATGCAGCTTCAATGTCCGCATAGGTGTTCAATTCGCTCGGCTGGAGAAAGAACATGAGATGCAAAAATAAGGTATTTGGAATATTACACAGTTCCTGAAAGCTAGAAAGCTCCAGTCTTTTCCATACCTTGCCCGTGGACTGTCCATACCCTGAGTAGTCATACCTGAAGAAATGGGAAAAAATCCATAAGCACTCAGACTTCATTTGCATCATTTTGAGAAAGTCTCAACTAATTTTATTGCCTAAGATGTGAGGTTATAACTTACTCGGTTAATAAAAGATCTCTAAAGAAACCTGAACACTATTGCACTTGTGAACATCAGATATACAAGATCTTAACATAAGGTATACACATCCTCTCTGTCACTAAAAGATTTTGAGACTCAACATATAGGAGGACATGATCTTTTCCAATTCAAATTCACATAGTGCCACTTTAACAGATACAGCGATCACGATTAACTGCACTGCAAGGAACGATCTGTCAGCAAAAAAGTTTGTATCCTTCTCACTTGGAATAAATTATCGACATCGAATCCTGTAAAGAAACAAAAGCATTGCCAAACCTACAGAAATTGGCTCACTAAATCACTTCAGAAATCGGAATCAACAGCTCCACACCCACTAAAAACGGCATACACAATATTCCATCCGCACAAACCACACAATCCGAAAAATCTAAAAGGAGGAAAGGGTAAAACATTGCTAAAATCTGTGGTTTATGTCAAAATCATACCCCAACAAGTTGACCCGGAGGTGGATGCTCAGCTCAGTGAATAGATCATACATCTGCCCCAGATCAGCCGCGTTGCCGTGCGAGTACAAAAGCGTCAGCTTGGCCCCAGGATTCTTCACGTACACCCCCACGATCTCCGTTCCCCTCTTCGTCTTCACCCTCAGCACGTCCACATTCTCGTGCTCCGCCACCTCCGTCAGCCTCAGTTTCCCCGTCCCCTCCTCCACCGACACGCCGTACGACGGCGGGTTCGGCGGAAAAAATGCAAACTTCGCCGCCATCGACGACGTCACCGCCCCCATCTCGCCCCCCAACGAAGGAATTCAGCAAATGCACGGCAAGGAAAAAAACAAATCGAAACCAAAAACAACACCAGGAGAAGAACTCCCCTTCTTCGATTATAAATATCGATACAAATGCTTAATTGCACAAATTCGAATTGCTGGCGTTACGAATTGATGGGGTCAATCCAATCTAACGCATGAATAAGGGAATCTAGGGTTTCAATTATTGAATCTATAGATGCACGAAAAAAAAAATTAAAAAAAAAGCTGTGTGCGTTTTTGTGTGTGTTTTTGAAATGGAGATGGGAAGGGGGAGACTAAAAAGAGGAGGGATTTCCGGCGTTATAGTGAATGGTGGCACGTGCGATTTCGGGTGTAATTACGTCGAATTACATCTCGGCTCGTTAAATGAACGAGCTCGGGTTTGGTTAGTTTATTAAGATGAACAAATTGAAGTCGAACTTTAACAAAAAAATTTGCATAACATGTTTTTATTTTCAAGTCTTATGAATAAAGTTTGTATCGATTCGTTAACTAAATGAGATCGAGCTTGATTAGTTTTAGGTTTCGTGAACGGCTTAATTAGTTTAACAACTCTACAATTTTAATAGACCGGCGGGTATATAGTGACACCCTGCTCGCCGAACTTAAGTTGGTGTAAGAGGAGCGATTTAAAGTGTAATAACTAATAAATAATAATTGTACAGTAAGATAACTGTTGTCTAGTTTAAAATTTAGACAATTGTACTTGTTTAACAAATGTACAAAATTTTAATTAAAACATTGTTTTTTGAACAATAATATAAATGAAAATATAATACTTTATAACGGCATGGCTATTAGTCCCCTTAGATAAGAATCCCTTTTAATTATACGCAAAGCCGACAAGGTCTATGAGCATGATTGGATACAAGATTTCTAAAAAAAAAGTCAATCATTTTTAACTAATTACTTATTTTTAACTCAACTTCACTATCTTTAATATTATCAGTCAATAATTCTTACACATTACATTACATCAACTTTAGTTCACTATTCATCTATTCATAAAATTTTTACTAATTATAATTTATCTCCTATTTTTATATTAAATTTATTTTTATTATTTTATTTTAAATATTATATTAGCATATATGCAAATACCACTAACAACTGACTTCACATATTTTTTAAAACTAACCAAACAAAATAAAAAAATTTATATCCAATCATCTCCAAATTTATAGCACAAGGTTTTGGTGCAAGTGTATGTAATTATTGATACCAACAAGAGCCTTTGTGAGTGGTGTTTTGTTTGGCCCATTGCAGATAATTTTGTACATAATTTTGACTTTTCTATTTCATTTCAAAGGCATTGATAAGATTTTTTCCCCTGCTTTTTTTTTTTTTTTTTTTTTTTTT